AAATAAGCGCTTTTCCACCTTGTAGAACAGTCGCTGATCACAGTCTTACCACATTTGTTGATAATTTTTTCTAATGTTACAGAAGATTTGCGAATTTTTCTTATTCCACGTACCTTCAAAAGTAAGCCATGGTATTTACCATCATATGCAAGTTTAACAACTAGCTGTATAACATGTGCAAAATATATCACAATCTTTCAATGCTAAATTTTCAACTATTTAGTCTGTTGGTTATACAAAAAATATAGAATTTACCCCCCCCCCCATCTTCCCCAATTTACCATGTTCAACATGTTTCTCCGCCTAGCGACCTTGTTCGTCAAGGTTTGTGTTACAAAGTTAAAGAGTTGAGAGATAGTTGTATAAAAAAAAATTATATGCATCTATTTAAAAAATAATAAAGGTTGTTGGGGTCGACCAAAATTTTTTTTTTTTATTCTAAAATAGTCTAGTGTTATTTTATTACATAAAATTCATTTAGACGTAATTAAACGCAATTTTTAAAAATTGTTGTTTGTCAGCCCACCCCAATGTATATTTGTTCTTTTCATATATAAATGGTTTGAATAAAATCACTATTATTGAATACATATTGTTGAATACATTTTTAATGATTTTCTCCTTTTTTTTCTTTTTATCTGCCTAGGAAACTTTTTTTTCCATCTTTTTATCTGCCAAGGAAACTTTTTTTTCCATTTTGTTTGCACAACCATAAAGGAGGCCCACAGAAGACTCCAGCATAGAACCTCGTTTCAGAATTTATGTTTGTGTGTGTGTGGGGAAGGAAGGGGGGGGCGGGGGGCGGGCAGGGCATGATCATTGATCATGTGTATTCTCGTACGTTGATAATTTTTTCAGAAATACCCAAAAACTAATAAAACTTGATATGATATGATATCTCAATTACATCACAAACCTTACTGTTTTTATTTATATTGACACAGCGAACATTTAACTGGTCTTTTAAAGTAATTTGGTGAGCGTATCTACTAGATACGGGATTATTCAGGCGTATTCACCAGAGTTATTATAAGTTGTTGTGCCTTAAAAAAAAGCCCTGTTAAAAGTTAGTATAATACATTCAACCCCAATGGTAAAAGTTTTTGATTTTAGTTCATTATATTTTACTGGAAATAGAAAATTTAATTTTTATTAAAGATTCTTGTCCGCCATAAAAGTTATTCAAGGCTGCAAAATTAAGTTTACAGATATCAAATTTCACTTCTGAAAGTTTTATAACTATTTTTCAATTAATGGTAATAATAGTTATTACGCGGTCAAAACTATTGATAAAGAAAAAAAAAAAAAAAAAAAAAACACTATATTTTTTATTAAAGTTTGATTGTAATCAGAATAAATAGTCTAAAAACGATAAAAAAAAGTTATTTGTAAAAAGTTTATTCAATAACTAAAGGATATAAATTGTCGTATTTTATTATATCTTCTATTTTTTTTGTACCCAAGCTTTCCTTAATTGTTTAAAAACTATTTTAATAATTTATTAAATTTTTTTTTATTAACAAAATAGTTTAATAATAAACTTTCTTACGACGTCAGCTAGTCTGCCCTGGAAAAACATGTAATAAATTATTAACTATTGACAGTGCAAATTCGCTAGTTCACCCATAAGCTTCACTTCGCGAAATATTTTAGTCGTTTTGCTTTAGTGTTATTTTATTAACCTAACGTTGATGGAAAAATAGTTTAGTGCAATTACATACTACACGTTAATGTAATGCTTTAAATCAAGAAATCAAAAAATTACGATATTTACAATTAAAATATGGGAAATAACTTATATTACAATATTGGCATTATCATTATTTTTATTTAAATTTTCAAAGATAGCGTATCACAGCGTGACATCAATTTGTCACGCCGTGACGCGCGTATTTTTGCAATAACTAATAAAATACAAGTAAAAAATATTATAACTTTTATCCTTAAAAACATATTTCTTTACTAAAAGATTAAACATTTAAAAGCTTATTATTATACGCATAAATACTCTAAGAGACCGCTCCATCGATTAAAAAAAAAAAAAAATCGGGGTGTGCGGAATACCTTTAGCGCTATAAACCGGTTTTATTTGGTCTTGAAACATCCGTGAAATCGAACATTTCAAAATGTGTTTATTTTTAGAATTAAATTATCTCATTTGTTCTGACTCGAATAAGTGTATCCGTTTTTTGAAAAACAATAATAGCAACAAAAAATGTGCAATTTTTTTTAATTTAAAATTAACTAGTTTCTTTAACAATGTAAAAGTCTGCAATCAGAATAGATAGAAATGATAGCTGTTGTTGTATCAATTGAAATTTCTACGTGAAAGTTTTTAAATGCTTTGTTTTGTTTTTTAAAAGATATAAATATTTATAAAATTTAATAAAAATATCCGTAAATTTATTAAAAATATTCAAAAGTTACGATTGAAGCAAAGAGTAAAAAAATTTCAAATTGTGTCATTTGCAAGATTAGTTAGTACTTTACACATTAAAAAATTATATAGAGTTCATAAAAGCTTATGGAAAGCTTTATCGACAAAATATTAGGTTTAAATAGGAAGTGTTGTAAAGAGTTAACTGGTATGGTATTATCATTTTTCTAATATTGATTTCAAAGTTAATTTGTTTTTCTAGTAGTATTGATCACTAGAAGAACCAAAAATATGCAAATGCATCTTTTTTTCAGCTTAATATTATTACAAGTTAGTAAAATATTTGTCAATTACATAAAAAAAAGTGTTTTGAGACTTACTTGTTATGTCATATTCAAGCATATTTCGTTTTTTAATGTGCATATTTGTAGTTAGGAGAGTAAATATTACTTTGTAGAGTAAATATTATCACAAAAAAAATATTCTTATATAAATTATGTATTTAAATAGTTATTGTAATGCAGTATAATAAATTATCTTTAGTAAATAAAAAAAGACTCAATTTTAACTTAATTTATAAAAGCAAAATAAAATAGTTACCAATGTAATGTGCAATCAAAATTTGCAAGAAAAATTTAAAATAGTAAAAATCAAAAGCAATGTTTATTGAAAACTTTCATTTTTAAATTAATAAATTTATTAAGAGTGTCAAAACTTTTTTTAAGCAATCCATATCTAGTGAATCAGTGAAAGTTGTGAAAAAATATCTTGATTTTGAGAGCAAAGAAAAAACTTGATTTGGCAAAACAGGCATTAAATCTGTTTTACCAAAGAAAATTTTTAAGATTAAACAACACATTTGAAAAAAAAATATGAGATTTTAGAAAAGTTATCAAAAAATGCTCAAGCACTTTATTTGTTAAATTAGTAGGAGGTTTTCTCAATCAAAGTTTCAAAGTATCTATTAAGTAACCGGTTTACAAGAGCTGCCTTACTGTTTATACTGTCTTACAGTTTACAAGAGATGTCTTACTGTTTATTTTTTCAAGTTATAGATTTCTTGAATTAAGAATTGCAAAAATGGAACTTTTTGATGAACCACTATCATTTAGTAAATTGTTGAATAAAGTTTTTCCTATATAAAAATAAGTCTCAAGAGTCAATAGGAAAAGATTTTTATTCTAAAATTTAAGCGAAATGTTTATAGAGCAATTTTAAGAATTTTGTATATATTAACTGCCTAAAATTAATTTTATATTAGAATCATATTCAGTAAACTCCTGGTTATTCAAACTAGCACTTATTCAAGTTTCCTGCTTATTTGTATATATTTATTCATTACATGCAGTTTTTCCAAACTCATTCAAATATCCATGCACATATTGGTCAGAACATAGAATGCTGTATCGGCAAACACTATAAATAGTTGTTTAAAAAATACAGGCATCTTTCAGAAAATGCAGGTTGCAAGTATGAATGGTGAATTATCCTTTTATAATTTCTTGAAGAGAACATCAATGAGTTTAGATCTTGTGGTTTAATATAGAAAGACTTTCCTGTTGACAATTATGTAAACATTAGATTACGATTTTGAGATTTTTACAAATGAAACAATTGTTATCACAGTTCAAGAAACAGGTAGATTCCATTTTAATCAATGATTGTGCTGAGGAAGAAGAGGAAATAGATAATGAGTCAAATGGTTTACCTTCAAAAAAGCAAAAATTATCAGATGCATTTGCATTTAAGGAACTCCATTGCATGTGCAATGGAGTTTCTGAAATGCAATCCTATTTATGATAATAATGAAAGTAAAATCAAATAATCACTGAGCTACTTATCGAAGATGTTTGACAAACACTTTTTAGAAACAAAATATCAATCAAAAATGAAGAATTAATATATATATATATATATAGAACTTTTTATTTTACTAGGAAAAGACTTAAAAAGCATTCTATTAAAAAAATCTTCTACTTTTTTACTCGCTCTACTTCTGTTTGTTTGCATTGTAATTTGAAATAGTTTGTATTTTGATTATAATTTAAATTAAGTGGTTTTAAAAAGGGTTTTCAGTTATTTGAAATTTCGGTTATTTGAAGTAAGTTCTTATTCCCCTAGGAGGTTGGAATAACCTGGAGTTGTATTATTAACAACATAATTAAAGCACTTGAAGATTTTAGAGCATATTTTTTGTTGCCCTATTGACTATATTATTGAATATAAATATATTTAGTTACATTGTTACTCTGTTATAAATTTTGTATTCCATTTACAAATAGTCACTATGCATTAATGTTCATGACTACTTGTTATAAAAATTTATGTGGTTTATTATACCTAAATTTTTGTTACAAATTTTTTATAACAGGCTACAAGGGTAGTTTTTTTTTTCAAGTTAATTTTTTATATATATTTAAACAAAATGTTTAACTTTTCAATTTGTGCTTATAATGTTTATTTATATTTTTTTTGTTTATTTGTCAGCAACTAAATGCTAATTAAAAACTGTAAAAAATAAAATAGAAATTAAGTGCACAATAAATCAATTTTTTTATATTTGAAATATATTTTATTAAAGTTTATCATCAAACTGAATTCACAGTTCAATTAATTCTTTAGCTGTTTTACCTTATAGCTTTAATTAAACAAAAACTTCTGCTTTATTTGATTAAAGTCTTCTGTATATATCACTTGTCTGGTATTATGATCAAAGTATTAGATACAAAGGTTTGACCTTTAGATACAAAAGGTTTGAAGTGTTAATTTTTAGTTGATATTATATTGTTATTAAAATGTGTTGGTTTAAAAAATTTGCTTTTGACACTAACCCAATTTTAGCTCTAGACTGCCATGTTGTTTAGTGTCTCTAAATTATTTATGTCATTATTAACGTCATTTAAAATAGTATTGGAGCAGTGCAATAATTATAGTATTTTTAGGTGAGTCTAATATTTTCACTGTTTCCTAACAGTAAAATATTTGACCATTAAAACATTCAGATGTAAGGTGAAATAAAAATAGAAATGATTAATTGGAAAAAAAAAGAAAGTAATAAAGATAAAATTTACTTGTAAAATGTCCATGGTTGCATTAAATGATTTCCTTATAATGCTTTTTAATCTCAAGGTATTGTGTATTTTATTTTTTTAAATTTAATGTTTCACACATCTTTTTCTCTCTAAAGGTTTCCACTCACTTTATCATATGTTTATGATAAAGTGAGTGAAAAAAAGAAAATACAATATCTTGAGATTAAAAAGCATTATAAGGAAATCATCCAGTGCAACAATGGATAATAACAGTAAAAGAAAACATAAAAATATAATAATTATTGTATATATAATATTAACAATTTATTGTTTTACTTGTATAGCAATATTTTGTTATACATCTATATTACAACATATATTATTAAACAGTCTTAATTCATTTAATTGAATGTGTATCATTATGTGATGTCATTTTAAATAGAATTTAAAATTCTACAAAATAAAAAGTTATAAGAAAGAACAACTCTTAGCTATCTTGCATAAATACAGTTTGACAGCTTTTTAAGAGAAAGGGGGGGTTACTTTAAATTGCTTCTCAATAATTGTATAAAACATAAATCTATTGTTTTTTTGTTGTTTTTAAACTCAGTGAAACTTTTTAAATATAAATCTATTAGGAATGTTTCTTTAAGGGTTTCTTTAAACCTCAATGCCATTTGTATAACTGCATTGTTAGTTAGTAAAACACAAGGAAGGAAAAAACAATAAGCTATTCAATTGTGTTTTTTTTTTGTTTTAGTTAAAAGAAAAAGAGTAATTATTCTTAATGTCTGATCTTTTTAAATTAATTATTACTTTTTAATCACCATAACAAAAGGTTTGATAAACTTTTTTTTTTACAATAAAACTAACAGCTGATTTTTCTTTTCACTTTCCATATTATAAATTTTACATTTCATACTTTAAATAATTTAGTGTTTATTTTTTATTTTAGTATTCTGAAATGTTTTGATGGTTTTAATAAATGTGTTATCATTTAAATATAAACTAACTATCAATTTATTTTTATAATTAAGAAAGTGCTCATAAATCTCTGTCAAAGTGAGCAAATAATTGTTTTTCATTAAATGTTTTAAAAGGTATATTATATATTTTATGTCAGTAAATGTATATATATATATATATATATATATATATATATATATATATATATATATATATATATATATATATATACACACACACACACAAGTATAAAACACACACACACAAACACAAGTACTAAATATATATTTTAATACACATACACACACAAGTATAAAATCATATTTAAATCACCAAACTGTCATTATACTGATTCAGGGAGCTGTGAGGTAATGTATGTATGTAACTTGCAGGTTTTAAGGATCATATATTAATTTTTGTTTTCAAAATTCATAACCATTTAAATTTTACAACTATATTGATTACTGTAAAGTTGTATAAATATATATTTATAATAAATAAGATTTATAACCTCTTATTTTGTGGAGGGTGGAAACTTTATATAGTCATAATTTTTGAACACTAAAAGATTAAAAGATAAAATTAAAAACCTATAAATTAAAATTCAGTATACATTGCTCTAGGTTCTGGATTTTAAGTTAAACAAAAAGGTGCTCTATATTTGTTAAAAGATATATAATAGATTCTATTGAAAACAAAATAAAAATCTTTCCTTCTTTTCGATTTTTGCGCATTATTAAAAAACTGTCCTGAAGAAATCTAATTATCTGAAACTTGGAATGAAATAAGATGGAGACTTCATTTAAAAAGTTCTGGAAAGATCTTAATCTAATCTAAATAATTAATTAAAATGTTTTTTTTCAAATAATCTTATAATGTTAATTGTTAAAGATTTGTAACTAATTTTGTTATTTTTTGGGGCGAGGGTGAGGGAGTGTTTAAAATAATCCAATCTTAATTAAATATGAAATATTGAATTTTACAAAAATATTTTTAGTCATGGTTACTTTTTTTTTACAGTAATGCAAAAAGTTACATCCTTATAGTTAAATAAATACCACAGAAAAAAGCTTTGTCAAACGGTTACAACTGAAGCTTTTCTCTGTGGTATTTACTTAGCTCCAAAACTGAAAATTTTACCTAGTCTTTTTAATATTTTTGTAAACAGTTCTCACTTAAAATTTCCAAAGGTTTTTTTATTCTTTCTAAAAAAATGACAAGGTGCAACTGTGTTGTGTGAAATTTCCAACCTAGACATGTCTTGTGAGCCATATATGTAATCTGAAAATATGTAGTTTGAATCAGCTGATGAATATTGTTCATATGTAATCTAAAATGTATAATTTGAATCAGATCCACATATGTAATCTAAAATATGTAATTTGAATCAGATGAAGAAGATTACATATTTCTGTGACAATTTCTTGAATATCTCTTTTGTACTTAAGTACAGGGGAGATATTCAGAAATTTGTTTTTAATTTAATTGTAAAAATTTAAAAATATATATTCTATTTGTAAATATATAAATAAAAATAAGTTTAAAGTAACTAACTGTATGCCTTTTTTGAATTACTTTAAAGTTTCAATATATAGTATCATCAGAAGAGGATCTATGGTTATCCAAGCAAGAAAACTTAGACTGTTTAACTTTCAACTTTTTGACAGTTAGGCACATCAAGTCCTCTTAAATTGTAACCATTCCTTGTTACATTTTTACTAAATAGGAGTTTTTTAGTTGACTCCTCCACCATCAAAAATTTGGTTAATTGCATTATTGTAATATTCTAAAGATAATGTTAGATTAAAAATTGAATACAACATAAAGTTTAAGGTGTGCAGACTGCAATATTTATTTCAAGTAATCTTAATAACACAAGGCATGTGTGTATTATGCTGAACACGGATATTACATCTTCCTTTTTTTTTTAAAGCTGAATGTATATATCAAATAGTTAAATAAGGTCTTTATAATATACGCTGTTAAATGAAGTCCCTCAAGTAGGCAGGTCTGTTTTTACTCCTTGATGATCTTTGCATGTCAGGCTGCGGTTCAGTTGATAGAGTTTCAGGAATATTTGTTGCTTCTTCTATTTCATTGTTTGCAGTTTCTTCTTTTGATAAAGGAGATGTGATAACTGTCGGTGATTCGTATGGTAAATCAAGTTGCTCATGCTGATATACTAGTGGTTGCTTATTGGTTTTAATCAGATGTTTACTATTGTGTCGATATACTCTTCTGTACTTATCTACCACACTGTATGATCTGGGTAATGTTAGTTTTTCTTTAACTATTACTTTCTTCCATGACTTACTTATACCATGCTGGTATAAGTAAGTCATGGTAGACAGGTAGGGTTGTTCGCGTTCTTCTGTTCACGAGAAGTTGGGATGGAGAGTATTCCATACCTGTGAGAGGCATTTTGAGGTGTTCTAGAAGACCAAGTTCAGGGTTGTTGCATTTTTTAAGTATTTTCTTCATTATTTTCACGCCCATTTCACTAAGACCATTTGATTGGGGACAGTTTGGACTTGATGGAGTGAAATTGAACCCATATACTTTTGAGAAGTTAAGGAACTCTGTACTGTTGTAGGGGTTGTTATCGGCAATGAGATTTGAAAGAATTCCATGACAAGTAAAAATGATTTTCATGAATTTGATTACAGAGAATGCCGTTTTGTCAGGAATGACACTGTTCTCTATAAATTTAGAAAAGTAGTCTATAACAATTACATAGATTTTTCCATGGAACTTATATATGCCTGATCCTTCTTTACTCCACGGTAAGTCAAGATTGTTGTGTTGAATGATTTTTTTCTTTTTTGTTGTTATTATGGTAATTAAGGCATTTTTGGCAATTAAATATTAGTTTATCAATGTTGCTTGTAAGTCCTGGCCAGTAAACAGCAAGTTTTGAACTAAAGTGTGGACCATAACGTTGCAGTCCTCATTTAGGCTATCATCCTTGTCAAAAATGTTGAGGTGGGCACGTGATAGAGTCTGCAATGATCTTTTCCTGGAACATATTTTACTACAACTTGATATTTCTGGAGTCTTATCAGAAGTCTTTGTGTGCAAGGTGGTGCTTCTGACAGCGGCTTGCACAAGATATATTTAAGAGGTTTGTGATTACTTTCTAATGAGATCTGCTGTCCATAGATATATAAATTGAAATATTCACAAGCAAAAACTATTGCTAAAAGTTCTTTCTCTAGGTATATCTCTATTCTGCTATGGTTAAACTATGAGAAGTATAGCTGATTTGGTGACCTTATTGCATAATACAGGCTCCTAATCCATGTGAAGATGCATCTACCTGAATCTGGGCATCTTTTGATGTGTTGAAGAATAAGAGTACAGGAGAAGATGAAAGAACTTTTTTAGTTTTTTCCATAGCACTGGTATGTTCATGGTTCCATGACCAAATACATGGTTCCAATTAAAATACGCTTTAAGCAGCTGGTAGAGGGGAGCTGTTATCTCTGACATATTTGGGATGAATTGTTGCAGATAGTTGACCATTCCTAAGAACCATTGCAAATCTGCTTGACATGCAGGCAATGGGTATGCAGATATGGCTTTAGTTTTTTCAAGATCAATTCTTATGCCTTCATGGCTGATTATGTTGCTGAGATACTTGACCTCAGATACTCGAAATTGAATTTTTTTTAGGTTGAATCTGATGTTTCTCTCACGAGCTTGTTGTAAAGTTTGTTGGAAAATTGTATCATGCTCTGCATCTGTTTTAGCTGCA